TTTATTCTTCTGTCGATTCATACTTTTTCATGTTGTATATACTTATGTTTTCGTACGTTATAGAAATTCTACAAATTCATCATTATTTTCCTCTTCTTCCTTCTCCTCTTTTTCTTCTTCTCCTTCTTCTTTTTCTTCTTGTACTTAATATCATTTCTATCATCAGTTTAATGTTGTTATTATTATTATTATCTTTAATAAGTAGTTCTTTTAATTTTCTTATCTGTCTGTAAATATTACTATTTTAACTTATTAATTTTATACATGTCTGTAAGGGACCCCACTGGAAATAAGCTCTCGAGCTTTCGTGGGTTATCCTGTTCAAGCTGACTTTTTTTTGGATCTGTTATTATTGTATATTGTTGTATGTTGGAAGCTTGTCGAATAAAAATCAATAAATCACTGAAAATGTGTGAGATGTCATGGGACATCGTCTGCTTGTGCAAATCATGTTCACCGTGTGACGTCACACATCTCAGCAGCGATCTGAGAGCTTTTCAGTTGCTTTGCCGGGGCTGTATTTCAGCGTTTTGTAATTGATACTAATCATTACTTCGAATGTTTCTAAGCATTGAATTTTGAAATTTTAAAATCAATGAACCTTCTCTTTAAAGGGATCGTTTAACAATGTTAAATCTGAGATGCACGGCCCTACGAGTTACCGGTGTCTGTGATATGGTGTTATATTGAAGCCCTAAAAAAATGCGCTTAAAAATGATTAAGAAGTGCCTCAAAAAAGTTAAAACCTTTGAGTGCCCGTACCATACTTGTTTTTACCAATATAAGTCAAGCAAGCACAAAATTCGATTTCGATTTTCAATCATAAATATCTTGGTAATCAGACAGGCGATCGGCTTGTAAAAGTTATGGGGTTCCTGACTGACCTAAAGGTTTATAATTATCATTGCAGCATGAGTTAAATCAATGATTTTTTAAAGGATTTAAGACAAAGTTACCGGATCCCTTTAATAGTACTCACCTGTTTCATCCAGGAATTCAGCCACTAGAATAACTGAAACCAGAACAAGCACCAAAAGACGCTTCATTTTGCTTGAAGATTTGAGCAGATCTATGCAGAGAGTGCTTAACAGTAAGGTGCGTCTAGCTTGTTACTCTGCTGGAGAATTCAAAAGTGAGACTCAAAATTGAGAATCACTTCTTATTATATAGATTTATTAAAGGAAAGATAAACAAAGCTCTGCTCTACCCTTTTCAGACAATTTTCTGAAGCATGAAGTTAAGATTAAAGGAAGACTATTCAACCGTTTCCATTGAGCTCCTACACCAGGCATTTTGTTGACACGCTTGTTGTCTGTAAAGCAGGGCTCCCACTTAGCCGAGTTGGAGCCTTGAGTTGTGGCGAGCTGGCGCGAGGTTATGGCAAGCCGTTTTATCATTGAAAAATATTTCTTGATATCAAGAAATCGAATTCTTGATATTACGAATTGATTTCTTGATATTAAGAAATATGTTTTAATGATAAAACGGCTTGCCATAACCTCGTGCCAGCTCGCCACAACTCGAGGTTCCAACTCGGCTAAGTGTGAGCCCTGCTTTAAAGGAGCTTTATTGCCCTGATATTGTTTTTACTCCCATTTTTCCAAGGAGAAAAAGAACTCTCCCTAACTACTGGTACCCTATTTTTCTATGGCCCATAACTCTAATACAACTATTTTGTTTTGTTTTGCCTTAATATGCTGGATGTTGCACCGTGCTGGATGTTAACATTCCTGCCGTACTTAGTTACTGTAAACGAACAGATTGAAAAGAATAAAGATAGTTTTTTACTTACATGTAATACATAATACATAGTACGTAATAATAAATTAGCATACAAGATATAATTTATATGTATGTACCATGAAATACAGGTCAGTTCTTGTATTTGAAGAATGGAAATAAATCATCAAAATTTGCTCATAAAGAATATCCTCTGACATAGGACACGACTCCAACATTTCTCAATTTTGTTACAGACTCAGAAAAGTCTACTTCTTAAATTTACAGTAATGAGACTTGTATACTGAAGAAAATGCTAACATTTTTTTTTAAAGAGCCTCTCGAGCCAGTGCTTCCATTTGTCGAGTTTCCTCAAATAGAACAACAAATTTCTTGGAATTAGATGGAATTTTAAAAAAAACTTACAAGATGCCTCTAATATGTGCCATTTTAATTTTTTTCTTTGATGATTGCTAGAGAGACCAAAGTCATACGACTTGCCACACAGTACCAGATTATCAGCTTTAAACTGCACAAATTTACACTTACTCAGAATAAATGGGTAAAACTGTACATTTCTCAGCGGCGGACCCAGGATTTCTCAAGGTGGTCGGGGGGGGGGGAGCCAACGTGTGCGTAAATCACATTGTGAGCGAGTAAACGTGAGCCCTTCTAGGTGGGGTCCAAGGGCAGGGGCAGGGTCAAGATGGTTCTTTTCGCCTTTCTTGACCAGAAGGGCGTTTCAAACTCCTCTTCCTCCTCTTATTATCATTTCTATCATCAGTTTTAAGTCCAGTATTAAAGGAAACCAAAACCTTCATACTAAGTTACTTTTATTGTAAAGTTTAAAAGATTTGAATAAAATCAGTGAAAATTTGAACAAAATCGGGCAAGGAATAAGGAAGTAAGAGCTTTTTGAAATGACTAGTCACTAGAGGGCGGTATTCAATTTGATGACATCTGTGAACAACTCTCCATGCCTTTTGTACATAGAATTTCACAATTTTTTTGTTTTCTTCGTATTTATTTGTGTTCTTGATCCGACTTCATAACATGTGAAGTAGAATATCATTTTGCATTCTATATCTTGCTTTCGTGGGAGTACATTATCTCAATCACAAGAAAGAAGGAAAAACATGAAATTTGATATACAAAAGGCATGGAGAGTTGTCCACAGATGATGTCATCAAATTGAATACCGCCCTCTAGTGACTAGTCATTTCAAAAAGCTCTTACTTCCTTATTCCTTGCCCGATTTTGTTCAAATTGTCACTGATATTTTTCAAATATCTTAAACTTTACAATAAAAGTAACTTTGTATGAAGGTTTTGGTTTCCTTTAACTTATTACGGGTATGGTCTGCTATTACTGAATGAGATGGAAGGCTCAATCTGAGGGTTCTTTTATGCTCTTTTAAAATTTGAATAGATGAGGCCCCATTATTGAGTTTGAAATGCCCTTCTGGTCAAGCAGGGTAAAAGAATCAACCCAGGTAAAACGGATTAATTCTTCACTGAATAGGGACTTTCCCCATTTTATTGTCACCTTTCTTCGTTCCAGTAAACATGAGGCAGCAGACATCAAGAGATCGTTTGAATAATCAAAAGTCAACTGGAGTGGACGAAAGCTTGCCTATTAAATTTTTAGATTGCCAGTAGAAGCTTAATTAAAGGGATAGTTAAGTTCTTGTTTCAGACCGCAAATATTCTCAATGTGCATGATTATTGCACTTATTCTTATTTATGACATTTCTAGTGCCCTTTTAGAACCTAAAATAGCTACTAAAGCAATTTTAGACCCCAATGTGTGAAATTGAGCCAATACGATCATATTATAGATGGGGTCCAGGGGCAAAGCCTTTGCCATGGGTTTCTCCCGGAAGTTCTTAAATTTTTAATAATTTTGAAAATTTAAAAAAGCCTTCTCGTGCGATAGATATTATAATTTTCTCTTTGAAAGTCACATAGCCCCTATCATTTCAAATCGTCTCTCTTTCTGCCTTAAAGAAAATTTCATAGAACTGTTGTACTTTAGTCCGTAGTCTCCATAGGCAAATGTTGAGCCAACTGATCGGAAATGTAATCTGTATGTGTAAATTTAAGTTACATGCAAACTGCGATATTAATTGAAAAAAAGAGTATTTATCCGAAAAATAATATGAACTCGATAATCCCAGTACGTTTCATTTATGAATTACAATGAGATTGTAAGATCTTTAGTTGTACAGTAGGACATATCGGACATGCCGACAATGACGTCAAACAAATGCGTCATCAAGCCACGTGATCGTTGTACCTTTTTTCGAGTGGCGTAGCCAAGCAAGCATGAGATCTGTGATTTTTTTTGTGGTCAATTTAGAGATTTTCTGAAAAATCAGAGGCTGGAATATTAATAAGTATCCACCTTTGTGGTTTTCATGATGATGTTAACTTTTTAGAAGTTGGTTTTTTTATGGTGCCTAGTGCTCTTGTTACATATTGCTTCTTCCTTATATATGAGTATATTTGTGTAAAGTATTGACAAGAACATGTACTTTTAGTTTGAACTCCCTATCCACCAGATATTTACGTACATTTATTTCAATGTATTTATAATTGATATAATTTTATACTATTGAATATATGTAGAAGATGACAAGAATCATGAAATATTACCTATCATTAACAGTAATTATTGTGAGAAAAAACTATTGCCTTAATGAAATAATAAATGAGATTGGTTTTATTTACGATGATTACAAGGAGGTGGTCTGTCTTTTCTTAATACTTGTCATACTTGAGGGATACATATTTAACATACCATGTTGTAGAGCAAAGAAATGCATTGGTTTGCTCGTTTGTTTTCAAGGCAGAAAAGGGACACTTGTCTTTAATGTGTTAAGGAGAATGGAGGAAAGCCAGACAATGGGTGACAGGAGAGATAGAGAAAAGAGATGAAATGGGTAGAGAGAGAGAGATGAAATGGGTAGGAAGAGGGAGAAGGGTAAAAGCAGAGAGATAGATAGACAGAGAGAGAGTGGAAGGAGTGTGTGTGTGTGTGTGTGTGTGTGGGTGTGGTGTGTGTGCGTGTGTGAGAGATGAAATGGGTAGGGAGAGAGAGTGGGAGATCGGTAAAAGCAGAGAGATAATGAAGAAAGAGATAAAGAGCTGGGAAGAGGAGTGAGAGAGGTGAAATGAGAGGCAGAGAGAGGAATAAATAGTATGAAAGAGATTGAGCGAGGGAGAGGAGAAATCAGAGAGGGAAATATACATCAACAAAAACAGAATATTGTCACACGGAAGTCAATGTCGTACATTTTATTTGTCTATAATATCCAAAATTACAAAGACACGATTTGTAAGTTGTTGGTATTGAACAAAGAGAAAACGTCACATTTTCAAGTTCACACAAAATTCCACAAGAATCGCAAACAGGCAAAAACAAAGAATAAATTATTATAAAATCAATTGCTATTTTAGCAATGTGCCAACATAACAGTGCAAATAAACAATATCTGACAATATAAAAATTGAGGTTTTAGCCCTTAAAACTCTTTTCTGAGATAATTGTGGCAGTTCCAAGTGTTGCTGTTGACTAGCAACTAACACACGGAACTGCCACAGTGGAATGTTGTTACATAACCGGTTCACTCGGATAATATACTGTAGAGAAAGTTGGCAGTACCTGTTTTGATTCTATGGGGAAGATTACGGTTAAGAAGCATTGCTCATGGTATGTTCCTCTATATCTTCTGGACTTTAAAAGTTAATTCAGAAAGCAATACTATTGTTAAAATAAATCTTGAATATCTGTTTTTTCATAATATGAAGGGCTCAGGGTTGCGGATTCTTTGTAGTATATAATCATGGCTTCCACTGTTGAAATGCAAGTTTTCCTACAGCTTCCTCCATCTGATGAACGTCTTCCTCCTGGGCAACACACAGTTCGTTATTCTCTATGAAACAAACAAACAAACAATTACACAAAGCAGAGAGGCAAACAAGTAGTTATAGCCAATACACATGGAGATCTCTACATTTTTGTTCAGGACACAATTTGCCAATCTTTTTATATATTTGTTCAACAAAGCCTGATGACAGTAACAGTTTTATTGTGGAATAGATATCCTTAAAGACCAGGATTTTTAGGTTTTCTGTGAAACCAGAATTTTCTGGTAGTTGTTTATCTCCAGAAATGTGAAAAATAATTATCGTTGCTTTGTTTCAAACACTAGAATTGACGGAATATACAGGCCGGATAATTTCCCGATTTTTTTTCTTCCGATTTTTCCTTTATTTTCCCCAATTTTCTTACTCAAAGCGGGGAATGTTGTTAGATGCCATTCCCCGCCCCCTCCCCCGAATCTTTTCTTTTTGCTCAAGGGGGCGTGGTTGAGGGATTTTTTTTTTTTTTTTTTTTTTTTTAGAGCTCACCATCACCTCCTGCATATAATTTGTTTAATTCGTCACTCCATGTCTTAAAAACTGAATTTGAAGGTGTCCAGGATCCATTGACAGCTAGGTCTTTTAATCTTTGGTTTGGTTTGGTTTTATTTTCCGTATAAAAATTCAATACATACAAGAATACAATTTACAAATACAAATCAAGAATTAAAAAAACGGCTGGAAAGCTCTATTCAGAGCCATTATTAAAATGGCGCTGTTCTTCCTAAACGTCCAGAAATAAAACCCAGAATAGTACAAAAATATATAAAATTACAAACGCACTATCTACAACCCCCTCCCAAACCCTCTATAACACATTATGAATACGACTGTTACCATCCCTCCCTCCCCCTCCCCATTTACACCAAAAGTGTATACATCAAAATCTAGCATCCATTCATTTAGGCCCTGTCGAAATAGGTTGAAGTCTAAAGGATTCTCACAGCGTATGACAACCCTGGTGCTTATATAAAGTGTGGACTGTTAGTGTCGAGCCCTGCATTTACTTTCTCAATGTGATCACATGACCAGTACTTAATGTCATTTCATTGAAGTAAGGCTTACCCAGTGCATCCTCTGTACGATAAACACGACGACGACGAGTATACACTCCGCCTAGAAATAGAGCATAAAAGACATAAAATTAGCATAAGGTTATAAGATTGCCAAATGAGATTAAGCAATTTCCATATTTACTATATTGTGTTAGTAAAAGAGTGTTACGACTAGATGTCTTGCCATAGATCAGGTGCGGATCCACGGGGGGGGGGGGCGACGGACCAAAAAGAGTTTGAAAGTATTAAAAAGAAAAATCTTATTCTTCTTTTACATTTCGAAGCGTTGCATGGTTTTTTTTTTTTTTTTTTTTTTTTTTTTACATACATCAATTCACCCATTTAAGCATACTTTGAATCTGGTCACGCTTCGAAAAGTTCATGGCCTAGAATTTTGTTTCTGTTGATGATCAAATAAAGAAAGCACCCTTTATAGATCAGGGAGATGACAAAAAGCACACAGTAGGAGTCTACCGAGTGCAAGCTAAACAGCTCTTTACGACAATAAACATTGTAGTACTATTTTATAAAACGTCTCATTGTAACATTTCAAACGGTTTGTGAATTAAAAGGAGATTTTGTTTGTTTAGTTCACAGATGTCAGGTTAGTTTCTTAAATATACAGTTCCCATGGCAGCGGCCATTTTTTTGTAATTGACCGGATTCAAATGATCCATTTCTTTTTGTTATTATCAAACAGTTATCTGAAAATAATAAATGATCACCTTTTGTTTCATGTCGTTAAAACACAATTAGTATTTTCAACAATTCAAATCTTTCATGATTTGTTACCATAGTAACAGCCTAGTGATCAAGTCCATCACCTACTTTATGGCAAACAAACGATAACAAAGGGTCCTAGCAAACAAAAATCGTCCAGAATTTCCATAGCAACAGCCATTTTGAACATATCCGACACCTGTTATTACTTGATATATTATTTAAATACACATAATAGGGTTCAATCCCTTTTTTTACTTTATAGATTACAAATATATGACCTTTAAACAAAATCTATTGTTCTTGCTCCGTTACTATAGTAACAGCATTAGTTGTTACATGCACCCACCACTTTAGGGCAAACAAGCACATTCTGATAACTAAAAGGTCCTAACAGAATATTTAATCGACTGTGTCTAAGGGTGGGGCCTTTTCCAAAATCGGCTAATACCTGTGAGAATTGTCATATATGTACAAAGTGTTTTCCACTCAAAATATGCATCCAGTGAAAAGACAAACTCTTTTGGATAGCATAGGTAGACTTATCCATCATATTCATTTCTTTTCATTGTGTGGCATGACAACATATTATATGTGTAATCACTGGATGCATATTTTGAGTGGAAAACACTCTGTACATATACCGTATATGACAATTCATGTCCTAAACGTCCAGAAATAAAACCCAGAATAGTACAAAAATATATAACATTACAAACGCACTATCTACAACACCCTCCCAAACCCTCTATAACACATTATGAATACGACTGTTACCATCCCTCCCTCCCCCTCCCCGTTTACACCAAAAGTGTATTCATCAAAATCTAGCATCCATTCATTTACGCCCTGTCGAAATAGGTTGAAGTTATGGGTCAGTCACACGGCCACTTACGGTAGCTGCGGATGCTTACGGATAAAAGTCCGTAAGCATCCGCAAGGATCCGTATCATCCGTAAGCATCCGTATCCATCCGTAATTCAATCCGCAGGATCCGCAGACATACCCAGATCCGCAGCGGAATTTTGAAAATCTCAAAATTTTGCTGCGGATGAAATATACGTAAGCATCCGCAGGTCCGTAACATGGCCGTGTGACTGTAGCATAGGATTCTCACAGCGTATGACAACCCTGGTGCTTATATAAAGTGTGGACTGTTAGTGTCGAGCCCTGCATTTACTTTCTCAATGTGATCACATGACCAGTACTTAATGTCATTTCATTGAAGTAAGGCTTACCCAGTGCATCCTCTGTACGATAAATACGACGACGACGAGTATACACTCCGCCTAGAAATAGAGCATAAAAGACATAAAATTAGGATAAGGTTATAAGATTGCCAAATGAGATTAAGCAATTTCCATATTTACTATATTGTGTTAGTAAAAGAGTGTTACGACTAGATGTCTTGCCATAGATCAGGTGCGGATCCACGGGGGGGGGGGGGGGGCGACGGACCAAAAAAAGTTTGAAAGTATTAAAAAGAAAAATCTTATTCTTCTTTTACATTTCGAAGCGTTGCATGGGTTTTTTATTTTTTTTATTTTTTTTTACATACATCAATTCACCCATTTAAGCATACTTTGAATCTGGTCACGCTTCGAAAAGTTCATGGCCTAGAATTTTGTTTCTGTTGATGATCAAATAAAGAAAGCACCCTTTATAGATCAGGTAGATGACAAAAAGCACACAGTAGGAGTCTACCGAGTGCAAGCTAAACATCTCTTTACGACAATAAACATTGTAGTACTATTTTATAAAACGTCTCATTGTAACATTTCAAACGGTTTGTGAATTAAAAGGAGATTTGGTTTGTTTAGTTCACAGATGTCGGGTTAGGTTATTTAATATTTAGTTCTCATGGCAGCGGCCATTTTTTGTAATTGAGCGGATTCAAATGATCCAATTCTTTTTGTTATTATCAAACAGTTATCTAAAAATTATAAATGATCACCTTTTGTTTCATGTCGTTAAAACACAATTAGTATTTTCAACAATTCAAATCTTTCATGATTTGTTACCATAGTAACAGCCTAGTGATCAAGTCCATCACCTACTTTATGGCAAACAAATAACAAAGGGTCCTAGCAAACAACAAAAATCGTCCAGAACTTCCATAGCAACAGCCATTTTGAACATATCCGACACCTGTTATTACTTGCGATATTCTTTAAATACACATAATAGTGTTCCAGTTTTTTTTTACTTTTTAGATTACAAATATATGACCTTTAAACAAAATCTATTGTTCTTGCTCCGTTACTATAGTAACAGCCCTAGTTGTTACATGCACCCACCACTTTAGGGCAAACAAGCACATTCTGATAACTAAAAGGTCCTAACAGAATATTTAATCGACTGTGTCTAAGGGGTGGGGCCTTTTCCAAAATCGGCTCATGGACTAATATTGCTAATACCTGTGAGAATTGTCATATATGTACAAAGTGTTTTCCACTCAAAATATGCATCCAGTGAAAAGATAAACTCATTTTGGATAGCATAGGTAGACTTATCCATCATATTCATTTCTTTTCGTTGTGTGGCATAACATATTATATGTGTAATTACTGTATAGCTTAATGGCGTTTAAAAAACTTTGAAATATGATTGTTTTAGTAAGCGACCCCCATATTCTGAGTAAAGTCGCACTTTTATGTTTCATTTTGCGATACATTAATGTGTAATATCCAAGTTTCAAATATAAATTAAACATATTTATAACTACAAACTCATAATGAAATAATATATATGGAATAAGTCTTACTTGGGTAATACATATTCCGTCAAAATATGAAAAGTCATGATTTTGGACATTCTTCCAAACTTTGAGCCCAAAATGAAATGTTTGTTTTGTTTTAAATGTGCGTGGCATCCACCCCCTAGATTTTGTTTGGTATTTTGCAAGAGTTTAAGCATGAATGCCACGCCACGCATCCCCTCCCCCCCCCCCCCCCCCCCCCCCCCAATGCAGTGCAAAGTATAACAAAATCATGTCTTGGCTGGTCTACTTCTACTACCAAATCAACTGAATATCAGGGTGGGCTTCCCTTTTAAAGGAACTTGATAACATTGTTCAGATGAGAGAAAATGATGCTAAGGTAGTGACTTCAATGAAGATGTTTAATTAAAGATAATCTGAAATTTTGAGTGAAAACTGACTATTATTAACGATGTAAATTGGAGAAAAAAACTGTTCCTTAATTCTCCCAACTATATTATTACAATTGAAATACATTTTAGGTGAATGTAAATCGTTACAAAGCAATGAATTGGCTATATACCAATTCAGACATTTAGTGTTGAAAGATTTGGAGCGACTTTAGAATACCCCACCACAAAAATTGACCAAACGTTCGTATTGTTCGTATTGTATATAACCTTGTGAAATGGATCGCAATTCAGCCATTGGCTGCGATGATCTTTTTAATAAAAACCATTTCTATCTATCTATATTCTATCTAGGGCACCAAACGTTTCACCAACGAAGCTAAATCTCAAGATTAAAACTTTTAAGTAACACTTAACCTAATCCTAACCCTAACTTTAACCCTAACCCTAGGCCTTCAACGTCTACGTACATTAACCCTATTGGTGGGGTATTCTAAAGTGAAGCCAAAGAGAGTTTTAAAAGCCAGTCTTATGACTTTTTTTCATGGAAAAGCGGTTGGGAATTCAAAAATGGTTGGAAGAATTTACTGTTAGGTGTTGCACAGTGACGCCTTCAAAGTAAACCTTAGATATCTTTGTGCTTCTGAGAATTTTTCCAGGATTTCCTTATAGTTATAGGGTTAGTAAATTAGAAGGAATATAAAAAGTAACATTTCATACAACCGAATCACTTTAATATAGTACTCACCAGTTTCACCGAGGAATTCAGCCATTAGAATTACAGAAACCAGAACAAGCACCAAAAGACCCTTCATTTTGCTGGAGTATTTGAGATGATCTGCAGGGAGTGTTACAGTAAGGTGCGTCTTCTTACTCTGCCGGAGAATTCAAAAGTGAGACTTAAAATTAAGAATCACTTCTTATGTATTTATATACTAAAGAAAAGGAAGGCAAAGCTCTGCCCTACCCTTAGGCATGCATGTAAGGTCCGAAACAATGGATGCCATTCGCCTGAAAATTCTTATGGTCGATCGTATACTTCAACTTAATAGAATAGACAGGCAGCATGTTAATGCATTCAATGGGTATTGTTTCCACACATTTGCATAATCACCACGATTATTCAAGCTAGGTATGTGATTTGTAAAGTACTGATATTGTAGGTCATCATTCCTGCGATGCATAAACTGTTTTGTCTGAAGAATTTGGAATTTAACAGGTGATGGGTGTACATGCAGGTACTATTGGTCTTTACAATTAATTGGTGCTCTCGCTTACCTGTTTGGCCAAAACAGACAAAACAATGTGGCCCACGCAGTATGTGGGTACAGACAGACATAATTTGTTTCCACAACATTAGCATAACCATCATGACCATCGGATATGAGGTTTCTTTTGTCAAGTACTGATATTGTGTGTCATAGAACTTGAGACATACCTGCAATGGGTAAAATGTTTGTCTGAATTTTTTGAAATTTAACAGGTGATGGGTGCATACGCAAATACTCTTTATCATCAATCTGAGTCGTGGCTTCGCTCCTCTGTATGGCCCATACCAAAAATGAGCCCCACATTGTGCGAACAGACAGGCAACTCTTTATTCATTGCGTCACATGTTTCCGAACTGATATATGCAGATAATCTATATCACTCAAATAGGCCATTTTCGTAATGTAACCAAGTTTAATACATAAGTCTTTTTGAAGTGTCACAATACAAATTATTTCATTCACCTGATAAGAATAATAGTATTTTAATAGTCAGATACAAACTGCACATATTAAGTGTTGCTAGGTAGGTCAATTAAGCCATAATGTTTGTCCTACCTGGCAACAACTAATGTAAGCAGTTCGGATTCTGTCTATTGAAATACCATTATTCTTATCAGGTGAATGAAATAATTTGTATTGAGGCACTTCACTAATAATTATGCATTAAAGGTACTATGTCCCTTTTGCAGCCAACCTCAAATTCTGTAGAACTTTGCAGGAATTATGAATATGTCATGTATGTCCTATCTGTGAAATTTAAGCGTTAGCAGTGTCCTCATATTCAAATTATGCAAGGAAACCCGTTAATTTGCTAGACTTTACTGTCAGACACTATTGAGTGACTGACTGGCTTTTCTTCTTCTTTGGTAATAACATACATGAAAAGAGTTGTAAAGGGTACATGAGCATTTGTCTACATCAATAACCCACTTCTTGTGATGGCCAAGATTAAACTGATTGAATCTTTGCGCAGGATAAAACGTATGACCATTCGGTACAATTGTCTGAAAATCAAGACTATTACTTTTGGGCTCTATAGCCCTAAAGTCGATTTGACAACTAAGAGTCGTTATTTTCCCACTTGAAGACATTTTCAAGCCCCACCTTTTTTAGGGAAGTTTTAAATTAGTATTATCTTTCAAATGCAGTTGGAATTTAACTTTTTCATTTGTTTGGCATGCAAATGGGACATAGTACCTTTAAATCTGGTTACACAACGAAAATTGCCTATTGATTTGTAACTGTAACTGTTTTGACGGACAAATCGAAGGATAATGAATCTTATATTGGGGCAGAACTTGAGGGGATCCTGATATTTAACATGTGTTCGGGTTCATATGATATTACCCTCTGGGTGGCCAAAGCTGATGAGACCCACACAGTTTTGCGAACAAACAGACAACACTATACTGTAATATGTATATATTATGACTGTATTGATCCGTTTCCATAATTACTCATATTGCAGATTACAGAACTTGAGAGATCCATGCGATGAGTAAACTGTTTTGTTTGAAGGTTTGCGAATATCAATTTCCAGTTCATGAGTTACTGAACTAATTAACATAAAAATATATTAATAGGTAGTTTTATATGATATTGTATTTTTTTTTTTTTTTTTTTATCTAAAGAACGGACAAGATTTATTTTCTTTCTAAATTTATGAGGTAGCGACGTTTTGGTTTTAATATGTGTGTATATACATGCATGTAAGTAATGGCTGCCACAAAATGTATATATTCTTGAAGTGCAGACATGAGCAATTCGGCGCAATACATGTATATTATAAGTGAAGCTCTTGCGCACTAATGTTTAACCACGATGCGGCTGAGTTTATACAACCATATTGATTCCTCTGTCTGTCCAGTAACTTCACATCTTATTTCGTCTGTCATCCCTCTTGACTCCTAATACAACCAAATTACACAATAATACACTTCAGTTATTGTGGGATAGCCTGGCAACGACTTCTGGGAGCCGGCCGTTTATTCAGTATGAATGTTTAACAAAGGTAAAATACGAGAGGTAAAACTCAACGAGAGTGAAAACTCTGGAAAACCTTAAGACCCGTGTCATAACATAACATATAACATCGCACTTTCATTGTAAATAAAAGTTGTCTCGTTGAAAGTTAAGCTAGAATGATTCAATCACAAAAAAGCCAGTTCACAGTTGCAGTCTGAGCATGAGCAGATAAAGGTCATTACAGAAAAAAAAAAAACACGGAGACGAAATACTGGATACGTGCTCATGAAAGTTATGTAATCAATATTCATTCATGCACATTTAGTGCACTCCATGATACACGGGCGGAAGTATTCTTTGAAATGGGGAAACAAAGGCTATTTATATAAAAGGAGTAATTATTTCAAAAATGTAAAAAGTGGGACCTCTTCAAGTTTTGAAGATCTGTGGATTTTCGGGGTCATTGCAGTAATGTGCTAGCCGTGAACTGGTCTATTGATGCCACGCCCTGGTCCCCGTGGCGGAAGCTCGCACACCTGTACGAGCTGCCTATGCAAATTACATACCACCGGGGCGCGTAACGGCCCCGAACCCAACATAAGTATGCATTCATTAACGATACAAACAACATTTGCCTGCTATACAATCGCAACGCAGACAAATAATATTCTTTGTTGGTTGTTATCGTTCTTAAATAAGGAGAAAGGGTCCTGCGAATCGAGGTCAAGCATTTCCCTTTTCTTCCAACCTTAGAAAAAGGGAATTCCTACTCTCTGTTCACTATCATTCTCTTTATAGTCCTTAATAATAATAACTCATTTTCCTTCACTCCATCAGCTTCTTCAACTTCACACTCTCTTCTTCTTGTTGTCAATCTTCCTTCTTACCCCTCCACCTCTACCCCTCCCTTCTTTGTCTATCACTATGAACACGACTGACAAAGAAAGCGGACAAAATATACAGTTCCTCAGGTAGACAAAGGAACATCCCTTTACTGCTATTATGTAAAAATGTGTAGAACAGGTGTCACATGCATATTCACCTTTTTACATAATAGCAGTGAAGGGATGTTCCTTTGTTTACCTGAGGAACTGTATATTTTGTCCGCTTTCTTTGTCTGTCATGTTCATAGTGAATATATCTCTCCTTCCTTCTCTCTCTCTCTCTCTTAATCATGTAAAGATTATGTTAACATGTATACCCGCCACCCCCCCCCCCCACTCCGAGAACAGAGGGACCGCATGCGTGTTTCCAAAATCTCCGGCTCGTAACAAAAGAAAAAGGTCTACCCGTATTGACTTTACACACCGGACTTATGCTGAAAATGGGGGGGGGGGGTGGTGCTGGGAACACGCATATACGTACCCTAAATAAGACTGAGTGGGGGGGGGGCGGGCATGTATACCATTAATTTGCAGCCCTGAAATAGAAAGATTTGCCCATACAATCAGAAGATGATAGATACTAACTCAGTACCAACTGTATTTCTTTCGATAACGTAATGGATAGATATGTAAAAACAGCTGTCACACTTTTGCAGCGTGTAACCTTGGTGCAATAATATCAAGTATTAGGTCAGAAAATAGTTTTTGTTCGGATAATTGCTATTTACACATCTTATAAAATGTATTATATTATAGAAGATTCTTCCACATGGAAGTTGTTTTTGTTCTTGCGCTGACATGGACAATGAATCAGTTAAAATTCATTCAATATTTTTAAATCCGTTAATTTCTATTAAGATTTCTATTTATTCACTTGTTAACTCATTCATCACAATCACATATTTACACAGAGTAGCCTTTTCAGCTAGCAAACAATTGAACAAAATAACTTTAATATAATTTATAGAATACATGAAGAATGTTTTATAATAAAGGTAAATGTACGAAACAATTTTTTTAAAGCTGGTCTTTTACATGGCTCTGTTTATATTATTAAAAGAAAAAAACTTCATGAAATATTTTCAATTGGTAGGAAGTATATACATTGGGTGATTAACTAGAATTAGACTGAAATCTATTTTGAAGAGTGATTTATTGAAAATCAATGTTTCTACCTCACATGTTTCCTTCAATGTTTAAAAAGATATTTTATACAAAATAATTGCACTATGTATTTCTTTGCATATATACGTCCATACAAAATTTACCAAAAATACATTATGTAAGTACGGTAAGCATTCATGAAGGATAATCTAACCCTCTTACAAATTGAAAGGGTGAAGAAAAAAGATCTGTGAAATGGAGTGATTAGAATGTTAACTATACATGAGCTTACCAATGACGACAACGAGAAAGTAAAATTATGCTATTGGTTACAAACTTATGTATGACGAATTGTCAAAACAACAACCTTAGACCAATCCTGGTGATTGGGTGATCATATAAAGAAAGTTATAAAAAAAAAACATTTGGGGATGCGCAAAAACCGTGGGTACATACTTTTTACTCATTACTCATTTTATTACATAAGCCCTACCTTTTAATTTGATTTTGAACAAAATATATTGAAGTTTGTGGGTCTTGTTAATCTTTAAAGTCAGCTGTGGGTATCCAATACAGCACAGCTATAGTAAACCACACCTAGATATATCAAAACATCTTAATGCGTAACCAAACTTGAAGCAAATATTGTGGGTGCCACTTGTACCCCCCCCCCCCATCCGCCAGCGTCTTATTTTTTCGTATCACAGCGAGCCCAGATTCCAGTATGAACTCATGTTCATACATAACAAGTTATGAAAGCTTGCAAAGAGGTCACAAACAATTAGACTTTGATTTTTTACTGCTTTGCCTCACTATTTATAAAGGAAAAAACTGAATAAATACTGAGATTTAAACCCTCAAGTAAACTCCAAAGTTCTATTAGTATAACGCTGTCCTTACGATTGAGCTAACGATGAGTTGATGAAACCTTGATTTGTATAATTACTATCACCCTATTAACAACCCTACCGGATTCCATGTGCGCATGCGCTGGTGTCCTTTGCGATTGCTCATGCACATATTTCCTTCGCGAGATCAATCTGGGCTAGCTATGGTACCAAAAATAAGACGCGATCCGCCACTGCCTAGACAAGCTCGTGGTTGTGAAAAAAATCATCACACCAATCCTTTTCCCTAAACGAACTTGATTTTGCGAAAATTCGAGATTTAATATGAAAGTATAATGTAGTCAGTCAATCCTTATCATTCTCGTTCAAACGTCAGTGTAGTCTGTAGACAGAGACTCTTAACTCTTAACTCTTGACACTTAATTACAATTCCATAAAGTCTTGAGCAAAGCCTAACTCTGTCGGGCTCTGGTCGCGCAGGTTAGGAGCAGATAATGTACATAGCCTATATGGAGTGCAGTAGACCATGTATAGTCTCACAGTCTCAAGACAAGGGCGTGTGCCTGTCAACTAATAACAGTATAGGCTTACTAATCAGCCTGGAGACACGTGTAGGTCAAGTTGAGATATTTCCACGTCCCACCACAGGGGTCTCCGAATTTAGCATTTCCAACCTGGAAGTTGCATGCTGAACCCGAGGGTTGGCAAATGTCCGCGGCGACGTCCAGGAAACAGCTGGTATATTCCGTCGTCTCTGGACGTTCGTGAGGGCAGGCGACCGGATCAGTGCGTCCGTAGTTCGTAGACAAGATGCTGATGACGTTTTCCAGTGGACATGTAATATTTGCAATTTCTTCTTCACAGATTATTAAGTTGTAGACACCATCTGGGACGGAGAGCAACGAGGAGAAAGATAGAAAGTCATTTAAGTAAAGCAAGTTGTGTGGAATAAGACGAATAAAACCTGTAACACTTTGCAACGACCTTTGGCAAATCAACCCACGGGCAATCTCAATACCCTGTTTTAATGGCCGATCTAGAAATGCCTGGAGTAGGTAATGCCGATCGTCATTGTGATAGACCAGGATATTTAAATTGCCTTTTTTTAAGAGACCGCCACCGATCCGACAAGAGATCGAAGAAACAGTTTACGTTTTACAAGAATTGGTCGGTTTAGATTCGGCGTGGCGTCGAGTTGGTGGTGTGAGTTTTGTACCTTAGTCACAACAAAAATCCGACTCGAGACCGGCAATAGAACGAACAGAAAATGAGATAACCTACAATGGTAATAAAATCGGTCGGTTTGGAGTCGGTTTGGTGGTGTGACTTATAACTTATCCCAACGAGACCGATCCGGGACCGAAAACAGACCGAACAAAAAATTATATTGGGATGACTGAAACAATTCGGTGAGTCTAAGGGTTTGGCCGTAGAGCAATCTTCGCCGGAGCGTGTGTTATATCATACAACCAAACACTAAGGAGTTGGAAGATGACCCACAACATTTGTTTACGATATGTAAAGCCATAATTTTCGTTCATAATTTGAACCCCCCCCCCTTCCCGACAAAATTATTATCATTGTTATTGTTATTTGTGTGTCGTACTGCTTACTTTCACAACCTTTGGGTGCATAGCCAAGATGGGAATTCGGCGGTCTTTTTTTAGGCCACTGGGGTAAAACCCGAGATCTATGGTAAATGGTCAATGTAATTATGAGGATTCGGATCTTGACACTTTCGGAAAAGACTCCTTGACAAAACATGATTTTAATACAAGCGTGCTTAAAGCCTCCATCACAACAAACTAGTTCTCACTACGTTCTGAAAAATGTTGCCCAACAATTCCTACTATGAACGTGTTGCAACGTGATGTTATCAAGCATCAGTTAGCAGTAGTATATGCCCCCCTCACACCAAAGTAGTTCTCACTACGTTCTGGAACCGTCCTAGAAAATCGTAAATAGGTTGTGGTCGGGGTAGAAAGTGTAAATAATGTCTATGATACGACCCTAGTTCGTTCATAAACAGTCATCAATACGTCCATCTCATCTGTACCCGTCCAAAGTCATTTCATACCGTAGTCAGTTTAAACCCGCTTTTAACTAGTTCACAACTAGTTTTCAACTCGTCCCCATCTCGTTATTAGTGCTGCGTGTGCAATCTAGTCCTGGCATTCAGGTTTACTACTGCGCGATCACGTCACGTTGTAACACGTTCATAGTAGGATCGAAGTATAGCAATTCCGTTTGTAGTAGATCCGTCTAGTTTTAAGTGCGTGTCACGCCCTCTAATTGCAGGACGGTCAAAGATTTGAACAGGCTTAAAGTTCCAGAACACCCTTCCTGTCCATGCCAGTCCGAGCCTGTCCATAACTTTTTTAAACAGATTGCAAACAGTTGCTACTACGTGCATTCTGTTCGGACATAGTTTAAACCAGTTTGGAAACATTTTATAGAAAGAAGTGAGACATTGTTTGGTGTGATGGGCATCATGGGGGCATCACTTGAATTCTAGGAGCGCGTTCGAACGCACTAAAAACGAGTTGACGACGAGTTGAACCGTCTTTGAATGGGGTGGTCGGATTGCAAACTTGTTAGAATGTGTTTGGGCGTATTGGGAACGAGTTTGAACTAGTTAAGAAGGGTTTAAAACTGACCATGGACTAGCTTGGACTGTCTGGCAATGGCAAATTTAACCGATCTGAACTTGAAAGGAATTGACTGCGGACGGAACCGACGAGATGAACATAATGAGGACTGTCTATGAACGAACTAGGATCGTATTATAGACATTAGTTACACATTCTACCCCGACCATAACCCGTTTTACGATTTTCTAGGACGGTTCCAGAACAAAGTGAGAACTAGTTTGGTATGATGGGCGCTTTAGCGAAAACTATCAAGCTAGCACTGACCCATACCTGAAATTTCCGTTGTAGTAGGTGGGTATTCCGAAGTCGTCTCAGCCGTCATCGTAGCCTTTTCCGGCGTCGTCGTGGTCGTTTTCGTGGTCGTTTTCGTGGGCATCGTTGCCTTTTCCGTCGTCATCGTGGCCGTTTCCGTCGTCATCGTGGCAGTTGCAGTCGTCATCGTGGTCGTCTCAGCCGTCATCGTAGCCTTTTCCGGCGTCGTCGTGGTCGTTTTCGTGGTCGTTTTCGTGGGCATCGTTGCCTTTTCCGTCGTCATCGTGGCCGTTTCCGTCGTCATCGTGGCAGTTGCAGTCGTCATCGTGGTCGTCTCAGTCGTCATCGTGGCCGCTTCCTTCGTCATCGTGGTCGTTGCAGTCGACATCCAATAAGTAATTGAAGACGTCAGTGAAGACCACATCGACGATGAGTGCTGTGTCATTTCTTGTGTTGTGGAAATGGAACTCGTGCTCGTCGTACCAGACCGATTGTCTGTCACGTTTGGGGCATGAAATGCCGAGCCCGTAGTTATTTGGTCAGCTGTATGAATGGTAATAAAGGCGTAAATTATATCCAAACCTGCTTCAGGAACCGCGTAGACTATGTGCCTATATAAACACAACCTTTTGTTCGCTTAATCAGTGATTCGCATTGAAACTTGTTTGAGAGGAACCTGCACATAAAAAGCACCTGTCCGTAAAGACCACCCTGTCTCCCCTGATTGGTCATTATATACTCGATTCACTGTAGTGGGTTCTTGTCTACCTTTGACACTCCGCATTATTACCCCCGACATAAATAATACGACTGCTATTATGACGCTCTGTCACAATAAGGAATTAATTCCCACCAGGTACATACATTTACCTCACCTGTGTCCAATGTGGCAAATAAAGATTAACCATTGTCTTGCCAAAGACAAACTCGTTAATGAATTTAGTCTTATCAAGGTTTTCTTTCTGACAGCTACGGGCTGATACACACATCACACCGTCAAAATGACTCCAGAGTTCATACCGACCGACAGATGTATGGTTATTCGGGGCAATTTCATTTTTTGTTCGGTCGGTTGTCGGTCTGGTGTCGGTCTTGTTGGGTGAATGAGGTTTAATAAGAAACTTGCCTGGACCTGGACCTGTGAATGGACAATATCTGTCGAATCATTATGTCTTAATCTATTAAAACGGCAAATGTGAAATATTCATGTCGCTGCAGGCCTTTGATTAAAACCGAAAACTCAGAAGAAAAAAATGGTATTAGATCCAATGCAAACTTATAAAATGAAAAGAAAAGGGAGGGAGAATAAAATCACGGACCAACTTCTTCAGATTTACCTATTGTACAGTCTTTTCCAGAGAATCCCTCTAGACAGTGACAGAGATACGCTTCCATCGTCTCCTCACACCATCCATTCATACACGGTCCAGAAAGGCAATCTATAAATAAATGAAATTTTAGACCCACTGTACTACTTCTAGCTACTTGCGCCCTCTATATAGCAAACAATGCCTAATCGGTGGCCATGCAGGTTATATCTAGGAGACCAATATTAAGCATTTGAATTGATATCCTTAAAGGCCATCTGTACTAGTTTGGCCAGGGATTATACCACACAGCGAGGTCACTGACAGGTGGCTATCTCATCAAATCAGCTCTCAAATAACATAAGAAACAGAGGATCATGGGGGGACCAACAGGCACCGATTGGGGAAGTTTTTTATATAGAGGGAGCGAGTAGCTACAAGTAGTGCAGTAAGGCTTTAATATAATGTAAGACAAAAATGTGTGTTATAGGGCGATTCTGTACAATCTGTCACGACAAATATCTTTAATTTGGGATTAACTCGTTTTTTTTCAAAACGGTCTTTTAATTGGCAGAAAGTATTCAATTTAAATTTCAAGAAATAGGAAATAATAGGACAAAGCAAGTTAATTTTAATATATTGCATAATATATTTCCATCAAAACATCATCATTCCCCAAACTATGTGTATTGATGGCTCTGTATAGGACCATGCTGTAACGCCACCTTGTGGCCTAACATCGCACAGTAAACAAGCCCGGGTAAATTCCATCGAGCAAGCCACCTCGCGCAACTCTGAAATTGTGATCTTTTTCCTTCATGATTGCCGCGATTTTGATATAGTTTTCGTGAATAGAGTTGTGAAATCAAAGCTTAGATCGTGATTATTTTGGCCATGTATTCTGAATTTTGATAACCATTTACGGAGTAAAGTTTTTACAAGAAAATCGGCTTGTCGAATTGTGCGAGGTTTACTGTATTTTGGAAATCATTTTCCCCAAATATAAGTTTTCAGAATCTGGCTGATTATATATTATTTATTTATTTATTTATTCAGTCTTCTTTAAAATACAGGGTAGTCCTTTTAGAGCCACAAGGCCAGCTTTTCAAAGGAGCCATGTAGGTGAGTGACAAAGTACATGGAAAAAATACAACAACAACAAATAAAAACATATACACAATACATAATACACAGTTATTTACTATTAGATATGTTAGGTAAGTTAAAACAGAGCACGTTTTGGTTTAAATAGACAACCTACATACAATTCAAGCTTGGTTTTGAATGAGCTAAATATAGCAAGGGCATATAATTATATTTATAAATTAAACAAAACAAAACAAGATCACATAAATTGATTTACTTGCACTGATACGATAAAATCAAACAACATTTAAAGCACACTTAACGAACCCCGATAAATTTCAAATCAGACTGAAGAGTTTAAAGAAAAGTGTGGCCAAAAAGAAACGGCAGGTTAAAGTGGAATGCACAAAAGAAAGAGATTATAAGCACGCAATGGGTAATTTAACGAGACTAAAGGATGATTATATAATCAAACAAGCAAAAGAAAAAACACAATGTGTCAAACGAAAGAGAGTATAATCACACAATGGATAGTTTAACGAGACTAAAAGATAATTATACAATCAATCACGCATATATACATGACAATGGTCAAGAGTCCGTTTAATTGGATAGCCCTATAGGCATTGATAATTTACAATAGAATGAGTACTGGCGTCTTTCGAAAAGGTCTTGGAATACATCCAACATTTTATATGAAGAAATTTGAAAGAGATTGTATTTAGCTTATAATAGGTGTGTGAATATAATGTATTCAGATTATTGTATTATAAATTTCGAAAGAGACTTCATTCACAATATTTGTACCAAACGATGTATTTAAAAAGAGGATGTTTTTATAAAAGAAATTTGGGAGATAATGTAATCAGATTGTCGTATGAAAAAAAGTGAAACAGAATGTATTCAGATTCTTACATGATAAATCTTGAAAGAGGATGCATTCAGAATGTTACATGATATATCTTGAAGGAGAAAATGTATTCAGATTATTACATGATAAGTTTTGAAAGAGAATGCATTCAGAATATTACATGACATATCTTGAAGGAGAATATATTTAGGTTATCACATGATAAATCTTGAATAAAAAAGTGTTCAGATAATTACATGATACGTTTTTTAAGAGAAAGCATGGGGAATATTGCTTGATAAATTTTGAAAGAGAATGTATTCAGATTATTTATCACGAACGCTAAGAAACCTAAAACACTCACATCAGTGTTTGGCTATCGCAATGTTCGAACGCGTACAATGACCTATCACGTGACCCGAACATGATCTCCTTTGGGAATACATTAGGGTATTGAAATTGCCCTTTACTTGATTTCATGAAAGTCTTTGCGATCGTATTAATTATAATGTGATTCGAAAAGATTCCGTTTAGATTATATGAAGCTTGGTAACAAAAAGGTTGGTAACAACGATGAGAATCGAAACTTTCCAGATTGGTGAGACGAAATCAAACGAAATTTGATGAAAATGGATGGAAGATCTTGACATGAATGAGCTACCAACCCAGTACGAATGTCAAGAAAATAATGAATTGAGTAAATTATTTCAGAAATGAATGTAAAACTACTATAAAAAAATGAGCAAAACTGTAAATAAATATTTAAACTAGTTCGGTGTAATTTTCTAATAGCAACTTTTTTGCAATTGCCGAACCATTTTAAAAGTCTATACCCTATATCAGAATTGCCGGTTGTTATTACGGGCGTATCCATATCAATACAATCGAAGGCCTTGTAATATTCTATTAGTCGCATGTCATGAAAAGGGTATCAAAATGACAAGGGCGGGAAATCCAATATATAGGATAGACGCAATTAATTGGAGTCTGTCGCCTTTCAACAGAAACCAATTTTGCGATTGATGGAGACCTAAGAAGTGAAATTTAACGAATTAACATCTCGGTCGTATTAATCCAATTCGACCATGATATTCCTGTTGTTTCGCATATCATGCATAATGAAATAGTAGGACAAAAGTTCGCGAAGACCATTAATGTATTAAAATACTACCGTAACAAATCACGGCAACACATGGAAGAAATCATATACAACATAAAACCGCTAGCTCTGAGTAATCAATCAAATCAATTGAAATGAAATAAAATGAAAACAGGCCAAGCATGAACAAAAAGTACAGCGACCCTCATATTTGCAAAATACTCGAGAGAGAGAGAGAGAGAGAGAGAGGGGGGAGGAGGGAGACAGAGATTGAGAAATAGAAAAAGAGAGAAAGCGAGAAAGAGGATGTATGGCTTGAATTCAATGCCATGAAGAACGATCCTTTTATAGATCGATTTCAGTGGCATGAATTGATTGCCATTAAAGTGACACCCTTCTTTTTCTTACGCCAATGGATGTTATAGTTTGATGGTTTGTTTGTGCAACGCGATTGTAAGTGACAAGGGGGGTCGACAAGTTTAAGACTTCTCTGGTGGGATTTGGTGATGATGATGATTAATGACTAACTAAAAAGAACTATATCACATCGACTTGGTTTCGAACTCGGGACCTGCCGGTTACGAGACCATGGCTCTACCAATGAGCCATCGCGCCCCTTACCTGGCCTTCGGCATATTCGGTTTCCAGCCGGTATGTTGTCCCTCCGGCAGCTCTTCATCAGTGGTCTGGGGATCAATTTAGGGATCTTGATTATCACGGAACCGTTGCTCAGCTGGAAATCACCACAGGGAGGGCGGATGGGCAGGGAGTAATTCAGTTCCATATCCCCAAATGAACTGCGTTGGCAGGAGGTCGGGGTCTTTGCTGAGGTGAACCCACCAACTGAAAATGTTAAGAGGATGAAATGAGACACTGATGACATAAATTTACACACGATCATTGCAACTATATGTCAAAGCCCGTCTAAAGTATTGGGAGCCCCAAATATTTAGTGATTTCATATTTCAAATATTCATTACTTTCTTATTATTGGTTCGATTTATTTCAACTTTCACCATTCTCTTTCTCTTTTTTTCTGCTTTCATACAAATGAACGTATGCCATTTAATCATACGTCAAGGCTACAAACTACGAGACCACATTTTAAAACATGAAATTTTACAGCTTTACTACTAACCTGATGTGAAGAAGACTGCAGTTAGTATGAGAAGCATGGCCAAGATCTTCTGATGCAGGACTTTAAAAAGAGTCTGCTGGATGAGAGCGGAGAGGCCGTGGATAAATGGAATCTAGGGGTAAATCAGCGAGAGTAGGAAAGAGAGAGAGAGAGAGATGTAACTTTCTTACACTTATAATAATAATTATGTAAAACCATCAAACGCTCACTTCACCTGATGAAAATAAATCCAAAGCGCTTGTGAAGTTAAAATCATCCTTGTGTATTCCATGCAGCGTTGTGAATTTCTTTCTGCATCTCGTTGTACCTTGTTAATCTGAACACTTTACACACACACATCTTACATATTCAGGTCCTCGACAAGGCAGGGTTATGTCTGTGACCCGTGATGATGTATTTCGGTCAAGGGAGAAATGTGTCACTTCAAGCAGGATGCCGTTGGTAGTCACCTATAGCTACCACGAGTGATATGGGCGTCTATTCAAGTCAGTGAGGGAGAATTTTAACCATGCAACCGAGGACATTTTCGGTGTGTCTCCTCGTATATCATATACCTGTAAGTCTAAACTACCCTCTCCTGTGTCATTTACAGGATCCAGACCTTGCAAGATGCCCCGATATCATTCATGTCATTGTCAGGTTATTTCCGATGTCACTATGGTTCAGAGACCCAAAGCTACCTGGAATGTCACTGGTAGTTTCACTTGCACTAAGGGCTGTATCTACGCGATCCATCGAACCAATTTTGTATCTCCTACGGTTGTTTAATTATCTCTTCTTCACTTATATACATATATATTGCATTTGTCCTCGGTCTAATTAGTACCTTAAAACTGATAGTTGAGTTCTTTGTTTCAGTCCGTAATTGCCTATAAAATGCACGGTTTTGCTCTTATTCTTATTTATGACATTTTTAGTGCCTTTTTAGGACCTGAAAGAAATTGCTATGAAGGTAAATTTAGACCCCCAAATATGTGAATTTAAGCCATTACGATCACACAAATTCAGCTTCACTTAAAAAAAATACGGTGACCATTAATTTATTAATTAATTTATAATAACAATACACGGGCCGGCTGGTTGTGCGTATTATAACCAACACGAAAAAGAAAAAAAAAATCGAATATTTTGTGGTGCCCGACAAGTATTAGAACTGGTTATATTTATAGATATTTTAGCCGTCTCTGAACCGATTTTGATCAAACAAAGATGATTTTGTCATTTAAATTGTACGTTCCTTTAAATTTGACACTTAGTTTGTCATTATCTCACAAACAAATATTTTGTGTAGCGCCCTCTGCAACAAAACTCAACTATCCCTTTAATATTCAATTTGGAATAATGATATTAGTACTGCACAATCAAGAAAGAAGACCCTGTCAACATATTTCTTTTTGTGAAATAGTGAAAAGCGTGATCAGATAATGGACAGTAAGAAAAGTGCAAAATATAGCAGGACTGACCATTATAATTATAGAGATGGAGTACAATGGACTGATTGGACCCAATTTTTAATGGACGTAAGAGCTGACATTTCATACACTCGCAGTTCTAAAGCTATTGTTAAGTAAGCACTCTGCCATAGACAGTGGGGTAGTCACAGGGGTACGGGGGCACGTACCCCCAATCGAATGGCGAAATATGATAGAAAAATGAGGAAATGAGAGAAAGTGGGTAGAGATGGGTAAATAGGAAACTAGAAAAGAAGATTATATGACTATGGGGTAGTGGTGCATTAAAGGCACACTACCATACTTGTAGCTACTTGCTCCCTCTATATAGAAAACTTCCCCAATCGGTGCCTGTTGGTCCCCCATGATCCTCTTTTTCTTATGTTAAATGAGAGCTGAGTTAATGAGATAGCCACCTGTCACAGTGACCTCGATGGCTCTCTGTGTGGTCTAATCCCTTCTGGCCCAGTAGTGGTGACGGTCTTTAACTTGACTCCCAATTCGAGGGTTGAGGGGTTCGAATCACAGCCCGACACTAACGTCTTTTGTCGTTATTCCTTATTTGCCACTCTCCACCGAAACCTTGAATGGTATCTGGCAATTTCCGGGGCAATGATAATTGCAGGGCCTTCATGGAGAACAGCATTGACGCCGATGAGCCTTCTTCGGGTAAACAAAATAATAATCAGTATTTTGTAATACACTCAATAAATGCTGATCACCCCCCACATCCAATAAATCAAACCAGAAATAAACGCGGGCAAAGAAACAAAGAGAGAGAGACAGCACCAAGCCAATTAAATAAAGAACCTAAAAATACATATGTATAGCTGAAAAGAAGTACTAAAAATAAAAGATGTTGACGCGAAGAAATCCAGAAGTGCTTTAAATTAATGGCCCACACAGCAGACCTCACGTTCCATTTTTCACAAGTATATTCAAGTGATACAGAGAGATAACCGATATAAACAGGGAATGAGAGAAAAATGAGCTACACATAACAGTGGAAAGATTTAAGGAATAGTCACCAATTAATGATCCCTCACGAGAATTGATTCCGAAACACGCGAAACACAATATACAAATGAAATCGGTGAGCACTACTCAGTCCTCAGCTTTCCATATCTCACCAAATTGCTATATTGTTGGATGCCCACGATAATGCTGTAACCGCCATTGACAATACAAGTTTTTACGGCGATATTTTATCCATGAATCAAAAATCAATTTTACATTTGCCACACCAAATCATCTCTGATTGGCACATGCGGCTAATAAGAGAGAAAATTCGATTCTTTGGGCAGCGTATCAGGATGATCCATAAACAAGAACCGTCCTTTCTAGGTCACTTTTGACGAACTGTGAATAGAAGCGCTGAAGTAGAACATATTTGTAAGGTTCTCGAATAAGGACATCGTACATGATAATAACAATTTGTGGTAAAAAAACATGGACACGTGCATATTTATTTTTAGATATGGACTCATTATAAAACGAACCCTTATGTGCGTATATTAAACAGTTCAGTACATCGCTATGATGCAAGAAGATTTTTGTTGTAAATCCCTCATGGAATGTTGGTATTTCTTTCATATTCAGACACCATGCATCAGTTTAGTATGATTGTGCTAATGTAATTTTATCTTTCTTCATTAATCTATAATTGAGTTAAAATTATCGACAATTTAAACAACAGTACATATAAATTGTTTTCGTCAAATTCCATTAATCATATATTTTATAGTTATTAAAAGTAACCTTGACAAGGCCGTCTTTGTCTGATATGATTTTCCGTGATTTTCTTCGATTCCATTTAAAATAATTATATTTCACTTGAATCATACAAAATTATTATTCAGGAACAGAAATAATTAAATGCATTTGAAGCACTGAAGCTTTGGTACATTAATACCTTAAAATATATCTAAGCAATTAACCCCACCACCCAATCCCATAACGTACATTGTCATATAATTCACTGCCATATAACATTTTATAAATATATATTGTTTTAATTCATGTTGTTTTTTGTTATTACTGTTTGGAATACAGATATGAGATTGTACTGACTTGCTAAGGAAAATGTTTTTTACAGCCTTGCCGCTAGGGGCAAGTTTCATATTTCTTTGTTTTGGGGATTTTACTTCTGCATTTTGTTCACATAATAAAAAGTAATATACAAAAAAGGTACATGTTTATTATTAACAATGGTCAAATGCATACATTACCATACCATAATATGAATCAATTAAATAATTATACCTTCAAAAAAATAATAGTTGAAAAATCATTTCAAAATTGAAAAATGCAGGAGGCAGCTTGCGTTTAGAGCGCTTATTAAAATTTGATTATGACTTGTATGCTGATAAAAAATTACGCTTCATGACAGCCTTGAAAAAATAATAGGGTAGTACATGATTTTAAAATGATTATTAATTGGAAAACTATTCAATAGGTCATGGCCATGGTGTTGGAGATTTATGCGCAATTAGCTATGTAGGTTCTGAGAGTTCGTGTCGGATAAGAATACATTGAGTTGTTTATATCAAACAGGTTGCCGGAGGAAGTAGGTTATTGGATGATTTGAACATACAAATTGCAATCTGCAGAGTATTGGTATAAAAAATCTGTTAATGTTTTCAGCTTCTGAAATAGGGATTCTGAATTTACAATATAGCATTGTTGAGCGTATCAAACGCTTTTTAGATAAATCCAAAATATTCCTATTACGTGTTCCTTATTGCCATTGCACTGTTATTTTGTTGTATATTGTACAAGAGCTAAATCTGTCGAGAATATTTTTTCCTAAACCCGTATTGGTTTAGATTCATCAAGTAAAACATATATATCCTATGTAAACTAATTTGTCAAGAATGTTTTATGTACTACAAGAGTATAGATATTTGGTGATAATTGTTTATTTCATGTGGATTGTCCTTTCTTAGAAATGAATCTATGAATTCTTATCGCTACTTTAAGGAGATCTGGATGTTCTGTTGAAATCGATGAATTAAATATACAAACTTAAGGGGATATAATTACGTATATAATATTCTAAAGAAAGGATAAAACAAAAGAAAATGACACAAAAAAGGGATAACCAAATGGTTCCTTCAAATATTTCTAGAGTAGCTCCATAATATCGATACAACAATTAATGTATTGTGAGAGCTGAACAAATAACATGTTCTAATTACGTAATACGTCACTGTAATGTTCAAACAATTCTATAGGTGAGATGTGAAGGACAAGGCTATCAAAAACTCCGTCGGATAGTTAACCTGTTCGAAACGTCGAGCCACTCATCCTCTCCAAGCGCTCTAGTTCTCCTTAGAACTATAAGCTAAAAAAAAAATAACAAACAGTCCTTTTCAGGACTACACACCCCCAAGAAAGATTACCGAGTCAGAGTCCTTTTCCGGACTCCTCAACCCTCTCTCTCTCTCTCTCTCTCTCTCTCTCTCTCTCTCTCTCTCTCTCACGTGGTGCACCCGCAAGCCTACTGTATAGTATGTTAACTTTTTGATAGTCTTTGCGGTGGTGTTTATATATATTTTATTCGTAGAGATTGATCAATATCGTTCTGAGAAGATATAAATGTTATCTATATAGAATGAATATAATGTCACAATCATTTCATGAAATATTGATACTCCAACTTTGTGGGCAACATTGTATGTAGGTTTTTGGTGACAATATCTAGCTGGTTACAATTATCATACTTGAATGTGGTATCATTGAAATGCCATACTTATTTTCCTTTACAATGACGCCCTATATGTAATGATTATGTATTCATGTGCAGTACACGGATAATATGAGGCGAAGTCAAAACTGAAATGTTGCAATATACAAGTTTTTTTGTTTTTTTTTTTGGGGGGGGGGGTAATTTGCCGTCAGGGTTTTAAAA